TACCCATGAAAATCTTAACACTTTGCAAAGCCATTACTAAAGCTGGTGGAAGATGTTTACGCAAAGGAAATAAATCCGGATTCTGTTCCCAACATAATCAGCAACAGCTTATAGATATGTACAAGAAAGAGATTAAAAAGATGCATCAGCGTGTGCGAATGTATTCAGATAAGACAAATAAACTTTTTCTGAAGCTTTATGATATCGAAAAGCTAGACTTTATCAAGTACAAACTTAGTGAGCTAAACAGTGATAGATCATACAGACAGATTGCCTCTGATGTCCAGTATAAAGATCAACTAGAATATATATTCGATCTACCATTTGATGAAATCGAATCCGCATATGTTGCAATGGTGTACAGACGCAACGCCATAGTGCATAAGTATACTATGAGACAATGGAGCGGTGAAAAGGTTCCAATCGAAATCAAAAGGATTACGAGAAAGACTCGAGCAGCTTGGCAATTAAATTAATTTACACTCATCCAAAATTCATGCCAATACTATAGAGCAAAGCTTATTTTCAAGGATGTACGCATCATTTAATTCGCTTAGTCATCGCGAGACGAAGCGAAAAGCGCTGCTAAGACAGACTGAGAAGGATCTTGCAATTCGCAATCACTTAGAAGGACGTTATAAGGACGCATTATGGAGTGCTGATATTCAAAATAATCGTCTAAGTATGATCCCAACTAGAGTAACGTCATCAACTCAGACAGATGCTAGCATTCCGCCAGCTGCTGTTATTGATTCGGTGACATACTCTTCAGGTACAGACCCACCACCATCTACGACGCCCGCGACAGCGGTACCTAACCGTGTTTTTTCAATCGTAGATGAGGATACAGGAAATAATGCATCCAGACATAACAGCGTAAGCGATGCCTCAATGACCTCAGAAGTATCATCAAAATACGTTTTTAGTGAGACAGATCTCCAAGAAGAAGCACATCGTCTCCAAGAAGAAGCTCATAAGGAGGTGAAAACCATTTTAGCTGAACCCGTCGTGTCTAACCTTCCGCCGATAAGACCAATTTTTCTAACTGAATATGCTACTAAAACTAAACTCTATTATTTTGATAGCAATGGCGACTTGCACTATTTAAGAAACAGTAAAAAGATATCTGCCGAAAGACAAGGAGACTTAGAAAATAAAATCAATTGGTAAGCAACACTGAATTATCTTAATCAGAAGATACACGACTATCACGAAGACAGTCGTATTAGACTTTCAAATGCATTCAATGCATTGAAGAGTAACGTCGAAACTAATAATACGGAAAGGGTGCATGAATTCTCAACTAATGTCAATCAAAAATTCTATAAG